TGTCACATGATCCTTCAGAAATCATTTTAATATGCTGATCTGCTGCTGGAGAAACATTATTATCAGTGTTGAAAACTGAGGATTTTTTGATGAATAGAAAGCAATAGAATTAGAATAGAATTTTATAACAATTAGAATAGGCATTTCTAACAATGTGGAAATCCTTACTGTCATTTTGATCAATTCAATGTGCCCTTTCCAAATAAAGCATTAATTTATATGAAGCAATGTCTGATACAAATCATTTTTCCCCTCACAGAGAATTTTTACTGTGCCTTCCGACCCTCGACAGAAACACATTCCCTTTGCCAGAGTCAACCATAACAAGTACATGGTCACAGATAAGGTTGCTTATATAGGTACGGCTCACTGCTTAAACATCTAAACCCTTTACGGTTTGTCTTCTAATGTCCTGAATGATGTCTCATTATCTTGTTGCTATACTTATTACTTGCCTCCATACTTTCCAGGCACGTCTAACTGGTCAGGGGACTATTTTGTGAACACAGCTGGATCTGCATTAGTGGTGAACCAGACTTCATCTCAGTCCACAACCCCCACAGTCCAGGAGCAGCTGCAGGCAGTGTTTGAGAGAGACTGGGACTCTCCGTACAGCACTGACATCAACCACAGAACCAACCGCAAAGACATTTGCTAGACCAGGCTTTGTGCCGGTGCTGTGGCCTTCACACTGCAGGGGGAGCTGGAGAGTGCAAAACACTGTTAAATGGCATTTGCTGGAGGATAGTTTTCAGTATAGAGTTCTGCTCCATTTCTGGGTTCTAAAATACCAGCTTGCCTGTCCATCTTACCATGAGCTACTTTTGCACTCATAAAAATTAATAATGATGTCACTTTCACCTCTGACCAGTTGCATACATTTTGCACAAAATGTCTTTTAAATGACAATGCAATGAAATACCTCTTAACAGAAACTCTTTCCTGTTAATTGATTGATTATTTTGAACATAGTTTCTCAGGAAAAATCGTATTAGCATTGATTCAATGTATTGTTCATAGCTGCTTTCTCTTTATAAAGTGATTTCAGTTGCTGCATTTAAAAATCAGATCTGACTCAAAGCAGCAGGATTATTGGATTAATAACCAGTCTATTGTCATGAACGTCTCTGAAGGCATTCTTGCATGTCTGAATGCATTTGTTGTGGTGTCACCACTACTTGACTGTTTTAATTCTAGTTTTTACTTCAGGACATGTGGGTTTTTTTATGATGTCTAAAAATCTGGAAGTGAAAATGTCAGCGTCATTACCAGACATAATCATAAAGGGGAATAGTGAGCAGTAGTGAGGGATGTGTGAGTCAGTTTGAAGCTTTTATAACCTTTTTGTTTTTGAAAATACGTACACTTTATTGGCTGTGAACCTTAAAACATTTCAACTTTTTATTTTTTTTTCCAAAATGTAGTTCATTTTACATTTAACGTCTCTTTCATTGGGAGCGGCCTATTTTATGAAAGTGTAAACTGTTACAAATAAACACTTGATATAATGCAACTGTTTTCTAGTAATTTCTAAGTCATTTTACGTTTTGTAATTTGATTAGTATTGTAACATTCTTGTAGTAGCATCGAATTTGTATGCGATTCTGAAAATAAGTATTGATGTTCCTGGATTTCCTTCAAGCAATGCATTTATAAAGGCTATTTCAGGTTATTTCGGATGGTTTAGGAGGGAGAACAAGTGTAACACATGCCATGAAAACAAGTCAAATCATAAGTACACACCCTTTCAACACTCAGCCGCTGAAATGAATGCCTGGCCAATAGACACTTGTTGATTTTCACTCTAAAATAGTTTTTCAGTAAACTAAATACAGCATGTATACTTAATTTTGCGTATTTTTATGGTCAGTGTGTTACAAATGCTAAAAAATATATATACAGTTCATTCAAGATTAACAATCTTCTTTTGTTCAGCACAACTTGACACCAGAGGGCAGTATGTAAACCACAAGTCTGACACCTGCAGGCCTGTTAGAAATAGCTTTAAAGGGGTCATATGATGCGATTTCAATTT